CCACTTAAAATGTTTTATTGTCCCACTAGACATGTCATATTGTCCCACGAAACCTGTAATATTGTCCCACTTGAGATGTCCTAATGTCCCACTAAACATGCCATATTGTCCCACTTAACATATCCTATTGTCCCCCTAAACATATCATATTGTCCCACTAAACATGTTTTATTGTCCCACTAAACATGTCGTATTGTCCCACAAAACATGTCATATTGCCCCACTAAATATGTCATAATGTCCCACTTAACATGTCATATTGTCCCACTAAACATGTCCTATTGTCCCACTAAACATGTCATATTGTCCCACTTAACATGTCATATTGTCCCACTTAACATGTCATATTGTCCAACTGAAAATGTCATATTGTCCTACATAACATGTCATATTGTCCCACTAAACATGTCCTATTGTCCCAATAAACATGTAATATTGACCCACTTAATATGTCAAATTGTCCCACAAAACATGTCATATTGTCCTACTGAACATGTCATATTGTAGATATCTACAAGATAAACAGCAAAGATGTTGTACAAGCAGACACAAGGAAACTGTTGCAAATTAAAAAAACTAGATGCAATCAGTACGCTGACTTCAGAACCCGAATGCAAAACAAGGCAAACATTTATGAACCTATTAAGAAAAACAAGTTTTCATATTCTGTCAAAGCAGACAATGTGACTTGGAAGAGTTTTTCAGTCACGAAAATCAGAAATTTCCTCCTTCATTGTCTCAAAGTGCCAAAATTAATATTAACGTTAAATCACAGCTTATTGAAGTTCTGGAAGCTAATAGGGATTTGCCGAAAGAAGAACATCAGTCAGACATGGTAGTAGTTGATGGTGCGGCTATGGTAAATTAGAGACCACCGCGTGGAACATACACTTTTGATGATTCCGCGAAAGATGTGATTTTGCCGTACATTAGCCACCTTACTTCAAAACATTCAACAGTAGACATCATATTTGATATTAACATAGGAGACAGTCTAAAAGCACAAACACGTAAAGTGAGTGGTGCTGGAACCAGGCGTAAAGTTGTGGGCACCAGTAAGACTCCGAAAGCTTGGGCGAGCTTCCTTAGAGTGGACGAAAATAAGACGGAATTGTTACTTACAAAATGATATTTGTGACAAAAGGCGAAGATGTTATGACAAATTCTTATGATGACCATGATGATATTACGAGGAAGCAGACACAAGGATAATTGTTCATATCAAAAATGCAGCTGAAAGGGGATGTAAGTTGACACTGATAATCAGCTCAGACACTGATTTAGTGGTTTTGGCAGTGTCTCTGTTCAAGACACTACAAGTAGAAAAACTCTGGGTTGCATTTGGAAAAGGAACAAACCTGCGATGGCTTCCGATTCTCGAAATTGATCATGCTCTTGGTCCTAAATCAGTGGCTTTGCCATTTCTCATGCTTTCACCGGATATGACACTGTCTCCGCTTTTCATGGAAAGGGAAAGAAGTCGGCATGGCAGACGTGGGAAATACTTGATGACGTAACCGAGGTGTTTGGGCTAATAAGTAAGAAACCTGCATTGGTCAGTGAAGCTGATGCTGATATGCATGGAGTTGATAGAGGCATTTGTTGTAGTTATGTACGACAGAACTACAACAACATTTGACATCAATGAATCCAGGCTTGGATTTTTTGCACACAAACAAAGTCAGTATGACACAATTTCGCCCACCAGAGCTGCACTGCTTGAGCTGCATATCATGGTGGTCATGTATGGGGACAGGCAGTCACACATGAACAATATCTACCCAGTCCGGGCGATTTGGGATGAGTTAAGGAGACAGCAGATGGGCTGTGGATTCCCAATTGGACATAATTAGCAGCCATTGCAGCATCGTGCCAGGAGTCACACAAATGTGGATGCAAGAAAACTTGTTCTGGTAGATGCAAGTGTTATAAAGCTGGTTTGACCTGTACAACATTGTGTTCCTGTAGCTGTTAGAACGAAATACATCGGAAAATATGGTAGAATAATACATCATTCGACCTTCCTGCATATCTTAAATAATTGCCTATATATCAAACAGACATTTTATCGCATATCCTTACCCAATTATTTCACTCGATTGTATGAACTTTTACCACCCTAACCGTAAGTGGTGATTTATTTTTACAAATCCTGTCTGTTTAACATATTTTCAGGTCATTCTGTTGTATTATAAATAGTTATCTTCACCTATATCACGTTAAAAGAGCCACTATTGAGCTTTTTTTTTTTAAATTCATGGTGGCCGCCGAAAAAAAAAAATCAAAAATATACTGGCTACCCCTCTAATATGCTAAAGTACACCCTAAAGAACGTATGTACCAAATCCTATGCTTGTATCACCATTTGCATGATTTTGTCAAGTTTCGGTTCTAAGCCGCCCCACTAATGTGATGAAACTGATTTTTTGCGGTGTTCTAGCTCAAAGACAAGACACTCGGCATATATTGTGTCATATATTCAAATTATAGGCTTTACGGTAGCATATTGAGCAGTAATAAGTAAGTGTGTTTTGTTTAAGAAATTATCAACAAAACTGTTAGATGTGTGATATAACCTTTTTTTCAAACGCTTTTACTTCATACAATTGTATATATATGAATCGTAAAAACCACATGCGCGCTATTTCATGACGTCATTACGGTTTTGAAATTTATCATCGCTCCTTATTTTACGCTTGTCTTGTTATACTGCAGATCATATTTTCGCGATCAGTTATTGAACCGCGAAATCGCGAAAATATCATCCCCGCGGAAATATCCTACTCTACGGTATCCCTTAAGATTTTTTGTTGTCCCACTCCTAGGAATATCCCTTGATTCATGTGGGGTTACTTTGCCTATTCGAATACTACATTACAACTCAGATGACGGAGAACTCCTGTATAATTGTAATTCGATTGTTATACCAGCCATGGTGAAATTATCCTCATGTCCTCAATAAATCATATGATGACATGTAAGCCATTTTTTTATATCAAAATCTACCCATTCCATCTGATTTTTAATAAAGGATCTCATATTATTTCACAAATGCCAGATGGGTGGTTAAAAAAATTAAGATATTTTTTATCATATATATGACTTTATGTACTTTATCAAATAACAAATTTTTCATAAAACAATAAAAAAAAAAAAATGACATTCCTGTTGAATTTATTACGTCATATCATTGTTACTTTTGACGTCATGGTTGATATAGGTACACAAGTCATTTATATTTGAAAAAGTATCTAATGATGAAATGAAATTGAACTAAAACTCGATGAAACTCATTTCGTAAAAATACACATGTACTGGGATAATGGGGACAAGTGTGTATTTATATTGACAATTGTCGAAAATTTATATAGTGAGTGGGAAAGCGAATACGCTTTTACTAAATAAACACAAAGAAAACAATGGTTAACTGTTCAATAACACATTTCTAAATTGAACTTTGCACCATAAAGTTAAAACCTACTCAATTCTGACTTTTTCTTCTGAACGCTAGCTGTTCAAATTCAATGGCTAAAGGAAAAAAATGTTACAAAATGAGGAATCGATCAGTTACTAGGTATACCGTTAAGATGAAGAAGTTTTTCCTGTACCGATTACCTCCCTTATACCATCTGTTAGAAAAGACGATAGTGCTAAATATAGTCAAGCGTAATCAATCATTTTCATTGGTCGGTAAAAATAGTAGAAATAACGTCAGGTATTTATAGAACGTTATAAGTAGTTTGATTAGTAGACAGAGAGGTATACACACCACGAACACTCCAATACGGTAGGCCTCCCTGTGTGAGATTTTTATACTATATATCCTATAAGTAGCAGTATTGTACCTTATATTACTTTCCTTACAGTCATATCTTATGTCTTCCTACCTACTTATGTACTATGGTTAAACTGTTGTTTTTTATCTACTTTATTTCTATAAGGATATCTCCTGTATGGTGTTAAATTGTCATCAAGACAACAACACCGACCTACTGTAGAAGTGAATATGTTTACTAGCCCGAGTTTTCTCTGGCCCTGACACCAGACCACACCAGACATAGATGTTTAAGTCTGGTGTTAGGGCCAGAGGAAACTTGGGCTATATGTTAACAGTCAGTTTACTAATTTTTGCTTTATGTACCAAATAGACTATCCGCTTTTAATTAGTATTACCGTGGAAATCTTCATTTGTAAACTTTCAAAATGGATTGGAGAAGATAGCTTGGATAATGAGGAGAGCTATACAGTGATACACGCAGTTCAGATAAAGATACATGGAGAGTAAGGGCAAAGAACGATTCTTGAGTTAAAGCGTTTCTAGTTCTCTATTTAAGGACGATAAAATGACAAATAGTACAAATCACTAGCTTAAATATGTATATTTGATGATTACTATCAGAAATCTTTTGTAGCAGTTTTGTTCAGTAGTGGTGTAGCAGTGTTTTAGTAGAGGTGTAGCAGTGTTTCAGTAGAGGTGTAGCAGTGTTTTAGTAGAGGTGTAGCAGTGTTTTAGTAGAGGTGTAGCAGTGTTTTAGTAGAGGTGTAGCAGTGTTTTAGTAGAGGTGTAGCAGTGTTTTAGTAGTGGTGTAGCAGTGTTTTAGTAGATGTGTAGCAGTGTTTTAGTAGAGGTGTAGCAGTGTTTCAGTAGAGGTGTAGCAGTGTTTTAGCAGTGGTGTAGCAGTGTTTCAGTAGAGGTGTAGCAGTGTTTTAGTAGTGGTGTACGGTGTTTTAGTAGAGGTGTAGCAGTGTTTCAGTAGAGGTTAGCAGTGTTTTAGTAGAGGTGTAGCAGTGTTTCAGTAGAGGTGTAGCAGTGTTTTAGCAGTGGTGTAGCAGTGTTTCAGTAGAGGTGTAGCAGTGTTTAAGTAGTGTTGATGGCAGTTTTATCAATACCAGACATATTTATAGAGAAATATTACCCATTTTTGACGACATTAGCCAGCTGAATTCGACTAATAGAGATGTTTTTTTGTTTTACTTATAATATCAGGATCATTTTGACCATGGTGGCTCACACCAAACTGATCGTTGTTGGAGATGGAGGTATTGGCAAAAGTTGTCTGCTCATTGCAAGCGCTACTGGGAAATTTCCGCACGAGTATGTCCCTACCGTGTTTGGAAGTTGGGTCAGTGAGCTCCGACTGAACGGGAATGACTACGAGATTGCCTTGTGGGATACCGCCGGTCAGGTAAGGCCAATTGTGTACTGATAATCTCGTAAGAGGCATATTATGCTGATACTATTTCAGGTGCAAGTTGCGCTGTGTTTAGTTTGTCAAACCATTTAAGGAAATTGTAAAACGCATATCTTAACTATGCTCACAAAAAGGATGGTTTGAAGTTGTTACTTTGATTGTTGAATTAGTATTGGCTATCGCATGAAATAAGGTTCACGATTTTCAGTTGCCGTGCTTATCGCTGTTACAAATTGTTTTCGGAGTATAAGCATTCTGATATCATATATTCGTGTTCTAGTTTACTGTACACATCATTTCAATTCACACGAGAAAAGTCAAACATATTCATACAAGAATAAAACTCCGTTTTATATTTAGGTTGTATGCTACATGTACCTTATTCGTTAGAGTTATCTCCCTTTGTTCAGCGTAAAAATAACCTGATCGTAAACAAAACAAGCATGAAGATATGTTACAGTTTAATGCAAAACGCTTTTGTAGCAAAAATGCACTTCGTTGTACGGTACAATTTATCCTAAAGGATGTAAAAATATTCATTATTATAAGCAGATACGTATATACTACAAGTAAATACTACATATACACATTGGTAAATTTCTCTGACAATGTTACATCGCCTTTTTCTTTTCTACAGGAAGATTACGACAGGCTGAGGCCGATGTCCTACCCGGGTAGTGACGTCATTTGCATCTGCTTCGCCGTGGACAACAGGGACTCCTTTGAGAACATCACAGAAAAGTGGATCCCAGAACTTCAACACCACATCCCAAATGTGCCTAAAATGCTTGTGGCGTGTAAAACAGGTTAGTTTGTTATAGTATTGATAGCTAATGAACAACAAACACCTATGCAGATTAGGGGACAGCAGTTAACCTGGTGTAAGGAGTAGTAGTAGGAGACTAATATTTTGGAGGCTCCCGTGGGTTTACCATCAAGACCAATTCAGACATTGCACACATTGTTATACTCATTTGTTAAGACATAACTGGTAAATATGTTGTTTCCTTAGGAACCATTGTCTAATCTGTTGTCTTCCTAGACACCTCTGTTTGATTGGATGATGTATCATACTGAGGCTGTAGTTGCTAATGGTCAAAGGGAGGTAGCTCATTTTAAGTAACTGTGATTAAGAAAAGGCGTGTTGTATCAACCTCTCTCAATACTATGACCATCACACCTGCGCATGTGATGTGATACTTCGATGAGAGAGCCATATAACGTGGCATTTGAGAGGTCCAAGCAGAGACAGACATCGTTGTTATGGGACTGTGCTTAAACATCATTTATATAAACGAGTTATATCAGTTCCTTCCATTAAAGTATTTACACGCTTTTTCCTCCACAGACTCTCCCATTTTGTATAAACTTGATTTTTCCGGTAACGATATAAACATATTTTCACTTTTACTATTTGTACAGACCTGCGATATACAAGTACTGGGGATTATGTGACGTATGCTGAGGGGTCAAAGGTCGCCCAAGACTTGGAACTACGGTACCAAGAAACCAGTGCTTTGACTCGAGACGGACTTACGGCATGCTTTAATAGAGCGGTACGTTATTATTATAAGTTAGCTTTATCCAAAAGGAAAAAAACAAGTAAATAACAATTATTTTTGATTGTTTAAATTAGTCATGGTTTAATTATTGGCCATATTAAGATACATAATATCTGTATGACATCGCAATTGATTTTAGAAAAAAACACGATTTTAGTTATATTCGTTTCCCCTCCAGATCATAGAAGCCAATCAAGGGATTGTAGCACGCCGGAGGAAGAAAGACCGATTACAGTTTTTTAGGAGACCGAAGAAAGAGATTCCTAGCCCACCCACAATGCCACCAGCAGGTATGATGTCACTTCCGGCACGTCCGGATAACTTATGTCGTTTCAACATGAGTTCGGACTCATTGTATGATCGCTTAAATGATTTGGAACCTCTATAAAGCCTAAGTGTTTCTTCTAGGCTTTCTTATTGTGGCCACTGAAAAGAGCAACATTGATATGTTACCATTATTAATATACCTTATTAGGGACCTCCATACGTCCTTTATTCTGCTGTCTGATCTTGTCCCTACGAGCACGTCGTGTTAACTGGTTAGCCAGATATATCACTGAGCATGTCTTGTTCGCCGGTGAGCCTGGTGTATCACTGAGCACGTCTTGTTAGTTGGTCAGCCTGGTGTATCACTGAGCACGTCTTGTTAGCTGGTCAGCCTGGTGTATCACTGAACACGTCTTGTTAGCTGGTAAGCCTTGTGTATCACTGATCACGTCTTGTTAGCTGGTGAGCCTGGTGTATCACTGATCACGTCTTGTTAACTGGTGAGTCTGGTGTATCACTGAACACGTCTTGTTAACTGATGAGCCTGGTGTATCACTGAGCACGTCTTGTTAGCTGGTAAGCCTTATGTATCACTGAACACTTCTTGTTAGCTGGTGAGCCTGGTGTATCACTGATCACGTCTTGTTAACTGGTGAGTCTGGTGTATCACTGAGCACGTCTTGTTAACTGGTGAGTCTGGTGTATCACTGAGCACGTCTTGTTAACTGGTGAGTCTGGTGTATCACTGAGCACGTCTTGTTAACTGGTGAGTCTGGTGTATCACTGAGCACGTCTTGTTAACTGATGAGCCTGGTGTATCACTGAGCACGTCTTGTTAGCCGGTGGGACTGGTGTATCACTGAGCACGTCTTGTTAGCTAGTGAGCCTGGTGTATCACTGAGCACGTCTTGTTAGCTCGTGAGCCTGGTGTATCACTGAGCACGTCTTGTTAGCTGGTGAGACTGGTGTATCACTGAGCACGTCTAACTAAATAAAATAATAACTAGGTCGCGCACCATCGCGTGTTCCTAAATCTGTGTAATTGGAGAACCTAATATACATATTGTCCTTTACTATGGTGATTGTTGTTTTACAGAAAAGGCCCCTCGGGTTGAGGTAGAAGCTTCCCGGTTCGCTGACGACTGGCGTGGGGTGCTGGAGAAACCCCGACATTTTGATGTGACATTTATACTCGGCGGAGGTCAGCGACTAGAGGCTAACAAACTTGTACTGTGTTCGTCCTCGTCGTTCTTCTGTCGGCTCTTCGGGATGACGCGCTATGATCAGGTACTCCAAACGAAAGTAAAACTGGTATTTTTGTGTTCATCCAGATTATAGTGGATATCTAGTTTTAGCGTGTTCACTAATCCATATTATTGTAAGTGGTTCACATTCTCTTGCAAATATATTGAAGAATTCAAAATACGAAATTCAAAAATGCAACCCAAATAAAGATGAGCCATTTGGCTACATCTAGACCTCAGATACCTCAATGGTTAGATAATACTACAAAAACGATACATCTTTCGGGGATATACAATTTTAAATTCTAAGATATAAGTTTAAAAGTTCACAAAGAACTTCTTGAGCTCTCTTTCAATACTTTTACTTTATAGTAATTGATATTTGCAAGTTTTTTTTAAAACTAAATTAGCTTATAAAATGCATTTAACGAATTGTAAATCAATTTACCTCTCGCATATTTTAGAGAAAACTAACATGTTCGCAAGCACAGAAATAAGTGTAAAATACCGCGGAAAGTGTTGAATGATGTACAAATGTAAACTAAAATTCAGTTTGACTCCGTTCCAGAATGACCAAAAGAAAAATTTCGGTCGCTTGGAACCATTCTCAATGGAGGATATGAATAACGGTGTTATTAAGGGTATATATGCTGTATATGAAAAAGGGACGATCATCTGTGCCAAAGGTCAACGTCGGCGCCACACAGTTATAAAGCTGGCTTCTGATATTACATATACAACGTTTACTAGAGTGCTGGAATTTCTATACACGGGTACGTACATAACTAACGGATACAATACTGTACAGCTCAGCAAATCTAAGTGTTAGTGTTATCAACGCTATAATGGCCGGATACATTGTGATGTCAGTGTAAATGTACACGATGCGTGAAAAAACGTAACTTTAGGCATTGGTAATTTAAGCGTATTTTCATATTTATTTATGTTATTATTCTGTATTATTTTATTCCATTATATTAAAGACCAGATTATATTCTATTTTAAAATTCCAAACCAGATTTAATAAAAAAAAATGTATAGCCGGACACACATAGAGGTCACGTGTCATTGGTATATTTAGGGTTCTATATGTTTTACTCTTCTTACGTTTAGGGACTCCAAATCTTCCCGATAGCCACAATGACGTCAATCTGGATGCCGTAAATGACATCACTAAAGTATCGAAGATTTTCCAGATGACGAGATTAAATGAGATCTGCCAAAACTATGTTATGGATCACGGCTTTTTGAATACTAGTATTGGAACATGTCTGAACAATGACACTGGACAGAGGATGAAGGATCTTTATTTCAACAATCCAGAATATGCTGATGTCGCGTTTAAAGTTCAAGGTAACAGACGTTATTTTTGTCACAGGGGCCCTTTTCACATGCTATGTAATAGCGTAGAATACTAATAAACTAATAACTAAAGAGCTATAACAAATTGCTAGCCAAAATATACCCCATCATCAGTAAAATTAACATTGACTGCTCGATTGTTAATTATTAATACGCTTTCAAACTTTTACTTATCCTGAACACAGAGTTACACAATATGATTGTAATACATTATTGTTTCCATAGTGTGTCGTTTTCTTACACTGCTATTGTTTTGTATGGTATATAATATAACACGGATCTTCAAATAAATCATGTTTTGATTATATACCAGGTCAGACAATTTATGCCCACAAAGTCGTCTTATGTGCACGATGTCGAGCCATGGCGACTATGTTCGGGGGTCAGTTTCGGGAAGGAAAGAAGGCAGTGACGGAGGTAAGTTACAAGTTCGAACGTCTATAGCCTTAAAGCGTTATGTAATATGATAATCACTGGTTTACAAATAATATGGTATCCATTTTTTAATATTTCGAATCTGCGGTTGCCATTGTTGATGGGAATCATTATCGAATCGCGTCAAGTGGAAATGCATGACATCAGAGTCTTTTTTTTTGCTATTTCAATATCTTCCACTGTTTCCTGTGCTTCTTTCCATTAGCAAGAAACTATGGGATTTGGATTGCGAACATGTCTGTCTGGTGTAATATATGTTTTTATCACATCATCCTAGAAGTGATAAAATCTGATCAGGTATATTTCCCCCTTACAGGTGGATATTCCCGCTACATCCGTGGAGTGTTTTCTGGCCCTACTGGAGTACTTGTACACCGATCACTCACCCATACAGGAGGTCGACGTCATGGGACTCATTGTTCTCGCGGATTTATACGATCAGAAAGGGCTCATGAATATCTGTGAACTATACGTTACGAAAGAAGTCGATAGAAGCGTAACCAAACGAATAGAACAGGCTGAGATTGACGTCATAGGATTACTTTTAACATCACAGGTATGTGATATACTGTATAATTGTAGAAGTGACTTACAAGACTGGGGCAATGACATGGTATATTGTACAGAGGAGGTTCCTTTTTCTTGATGAATACCTGCTAATTTTTCCCGGGTTGGGTACATTTACTCACGTATAGAGGTTAGATACTTCCTGTTAAATATCAACATCATTTTACCGGCTAACATAGAGATATTTTGATAATATCTATGAATTAAAAGAACCTTTCTAACAGTCACACATGGAAGATACGATACGACGCTATTAACCAATGGGACTCTAAACAAAGTTTTGCCGGGACTTTTTACATGTACCACAGAAATATCTCTTCTAAAGTAATGATCAGTTAAGAAATGGACATGATTGCATTTAAGAGATGTGACAATATAAATATGTATAAACATGTTGGATATTGACAGATGTACAACGCCAACCAGTTGACCGCATGGTGCTTGCACTTCATCTCCAGTAATTATACAGCATTCAAACGCAAACCTGAATTCGATCAGCTCAAGGGAGATAACTTAGACATAGTGAAGAAAAGACAGTGGCCTCCCAGTTCCTATCTCGAAGAAGTTGCAGAATACGACAAGAAATGGGCAGGAAATGGCGTAGAATGTTCCTTGATGTGACACAATTACAGTGCGTCACTGTTTGTTATTGGTATTTATTTGTTATTGATTTATGTGTTTGTTATTGTTAATGTTAAGATATACATGTAGATATTTTGCGAAGAAATAAAAAAGAGGTTAATTTACGGAAGCAAGTATCTGAATTGGTCGACTTTCACGTTTGTAGTGTTGTATAGGTTTGATACACCTTCATGGAACAAATTGCTCGAGTATTTACGAAGTTAACCTCTATGTAGAGACGAAATCAGGACACTGTTTCGGTAGCATTGTTTTCACGGAGTTGAATTAAGTTTATAGGGATAAGCATCCTGTTAACAGCTATGGGCATTACGTGCCTCCATTACTGTAATGCACGCTGGTATGGTGGAGGCGGTATGTTGGAGTACTCACCTCTTTGCGAAAGCGAGGATGTGATAGTATCAGAAGTCAACACCAGAAAAAATTATTATTTGTGCTTATAGTGCAGTAAGATATCAGGATAATTGTTCTCAATAGTGTATTGTGTATAAAGAAGAAACATTAAGAGAATAGCGTGATTTACATGGAGACCCTTGAAACAGCACAAGAAGAAGCATACAGCTTTATACAATTTGGTTAACAAAGGTTTACAAATACTGAACTTGTCTTTCGTTTATCATCTATCATTTACACAAAATTGAGGCCCTTTGTCCAGTGATGCTCCAACTATGATGAAAATCCTTTTGCTCATAATGCAGTAGAAATATCCCCCGTCAATCTGTCTGTAGCGCTTGACTGGATGATGACTTGATAACTAAAGAATTGGAGTGAGGATTGCCTAATAGGATGCAAATCACCCTATTAATGTTTGTCGTGGTCCACCAGAGGTTATGGCCAACGTTGCTAAAACAGAATTACGCTTAGTTATATATTTTTTCTTACAAATTTCACATTTGGTGTACTTGATGTGTAAACTCCATTCGAGGTCTATATCACTACTGCTAAGAATAGGATTTAGCTTGGTTTCGTGCGTCCGATAACTTTCATTAAAACATGCCCCTATTTCCCAATACTGTGCCCTGTGAAACTCAGCCCCTAGACAGGTAGTCCGAATTATTCTGACGTTTTATCGACTTCTTTCATATCGGTCTATCGTCGGTAAATCGACGACAGACCGATATGAAAAAAGTCGATAAAACGTCAGAATAATTCGGAGTACTAGACAGGATAAACTGTTCTCCCTTCACCATTTGGTTCCTTAGTCTTTGTGCCATATTTGGCAGAAACCCGATTATAAGAAGGATACTGAAACTAGTCGATGAGGGACGCACGATTGACGTTGTACAATTAGTCATGTATACGCATGCTAATATGTTCAGTCAAGAGACAGATTCAATGGAAGGACTTCGGCAAATTTGGAGACACATCAAATTAAGAAATATAATTGTGTGAAATTCAACTGCCTGCATGTTTTGTGATATAAAGAGATATGGGGACGGGGACGGGGACGGGACGGGATGGGACGGGACGGGGACGGGACGGG